CCAGTGTGGTCTGCACACACTGATGATCAGATTAGAGCCAGACCTCCTCAAGTTCATGACTCACTGGAACTGCCAGGGCTATTCTGGCTGTCGATTAGAGAAGTTTGGGTGGGGGGCAGATCTCTCCTACTGAGCTCCAGAAGTCCAGAGGAAGACGAATGCCACCTGCAAATATCTGAAGGATGTGGTGTGTACAGGAGGTAGGCTTGAAGTGTGATGTTGTGACGGTCAACACTTAAAGCCCACATGGGTTTTGTAGAGGGAAAAATTCAGTGCTTCACGGAGGCTTTCTCTGAGGACAGAACTTTCCAAAGAGTCACCTGACAGTGTGCTTGAAACTAGAGTTTCAAGTGGAAGATGAATGGCAACCTTGGGGGAACACTGAAGAAAAATCTAGCAGATTTCCAAAGATACACTGCAGCTCTTAAAGTCATAATCCTTTTTATTATGTTTAGTGTGTGTGCGTGCACACACGCATATGTGTGTGCGTATGTAGAGGTACATGTGACTGACAGTCAGGGGAATTGATTCTTTTCTTCCACTATGTAGGCCCTGGGGATTGTAGCCGGGTTTCCAGGCTTGGCAAAAGGTATCTCTTCCTACTGAGCCATTTCACTGGCCCAAGAGATAATTTTTTTCTAGATTTTAAAATTTTATTTTATGGGCATGAATATTTTGTCTACCTGTATATAGGTGTGCCACGTGCATGCCTCGTGCCTGCAGAGTTCAGAAGGGAGCATCGGGTCCCCTAGAACTGGAGTAACAGATGGTTATGAGCCATCATGTGGGTGTTGGAAATCAAACCTCTGTAAGAGCCCCAAGTGCTCTTAATCATTGAGCCACCTGTCAAATCCTCAAGAATTATCATAATTCTTAATAAGTGAAGATAAGAGATTCTGAAGAGCAAATATTTAGCAAACTCTTCTTAGAAGAGGTAAAGAGTAGATGAGGCCATTCATGTCTGAGAAGACTGTAAAAGTAAGACGGACCACTTACAGTGAACCTGTTTAACCAGCAACACTTAAATCACACCCCTCTCACCTGAAGACCTCTCCTTACCCACTTATGGGCCTTTCCTACTTGTGAATTCCTTTGTTTCCTTCACACCTTACATCCCATGGCTTGCTAAATCACTCCACTTTCGTCTCCACAGTGAGCACTCTGCCTCTTTCTTCTGGTCCATTTGCAGCACCATTGACTTTCTTCATGCCATCATGGCCTGTCATCTGGAAGTCTACAACAGCCCTCTCAATGGAGAGATAGTTGCAAATGGATTACCTAAAGAGATTGTCCCCACTGTGTCAGTGCCTTCTTTCAAAATTACTTCACTCAGAACAGAGACCATTTCTCAAGCACAAGAGCTGTGTGACAGTGTCCTTAGGCCTTGGGTTCAGTTACCCGAATTGTTAAGACTTTCATGATTTAGAAGAGAACTAGAAGAGAATGAAAGAGAAGAGAAAATGGAAATGGACAAGGTAGATATACTATCTCTCTCTCTCTCTCTCTCTCTCTCTCTCTCTCTCTCTCCCTTTCTCCTTCTCCCTCCATTTCCCCCTCCCTCCCATCCCCCTTCCCGAGACAGGGTCTCACTGTAACCCAGGCTGGCCTGGAACTCTTGTTGATCCTCCTGCCATAGTGTGTCTGGAATTCTGGAATAATAGCTGTGCACTACCATGCCTGGTTTCTTGCACTTGTTTCTTACAATTGCCATAATACGGCCGGGCCATGGTGGTGCACTCTTTTAATCCCAGCACTTGGGAGGCAGACGCAGTCGGAGTTTGAGGCCAGCCTGGTCTACAGAGTGAGTTCTAGAATAGTCAAGGTTCCATAGAGAAACCCTGTCTTGGAAAAACACACACACACACACACACACACACACACACACACACACACACACACAATTGCCATTATATACTATGAACATTGTGGTATAAAGCAAACAAATATATTGTTTCCTAGACCCAGGGACTAGACTTCCAAATTCAATGTGTTAGCAAAGCTGTACTTCTTCTGAAGCCTGCGGCGAAGAATTCCTCCTTGACTTTCCTAGCTTCTGGTAGCTCCTAGCAGTTCTTTGCATTTCTTGGCTTCTGTCGGATTCTGTCTAGTCATCCTCATCTGTCCCTGGCTTCCTTCCTGCATATGTGTGACTGGACCTCTCTTTCCTCTCTTTCACAACGGCACCAGTCACTGAATTGAGAATGAATTCTGAGACAGCGTGACTGCATCTTAACTTGTTTCTACAAAGACCTAATTTCAAATGAGGTCCCATCCACAGGCTCTGGGGGATAGGAGTTCAATCCATTTTTAAAATTAAAGATTTATTTTTATTTTATGTATATTTTTGTATGTATATATGTATGTATGTATGTATGTATGTATGTATGTATGTATGCCTGAGGAGGCCAAAAGAGGGCATAGGATCCTCTGGAACTGGGGTTACAATTGGTCGAGAGCAGCTGGGTACTGGTCTTCTGAAAGAGCAGCAAGTGTCTTTAGCCCACAAACTACCTCTCAGCCCCTTGGATGTATATTTTTGTTGTTGTTGTTGTTGTTGTTATTTAAAGGTTTTGTTTTTATCTTATGTGTAGGGGTATTATGCCTACATATATGTCTGTGCACCATGTGAGTACAAGTGCCTTCAGAAGTGGGAGCAAAACCATGGGGAACAGGAATTAGAGATGGTTATGAGCTGGTTGTGAGATGCCACGTCATATGGGTGCTGGAAACGGAACCCAGGTCCTCTGGAAGAGTGGCCAGTGCTTTTAACTGCTGAGCCATCTTTCCAGCCCTGGGTGTATCTTTTTTTGATACTCAATACAATTGGCACTGTTGGAAAGTGCCAGAAAAATGTAGCATAGGGAAGGCATCTTGCTTATTAAATAGCTTTGGATGAAGTAACAATTTTAAGAGTGATGGGAGGTGATATTCAATAGGGCCAGCCAGAGGGACTTTAAAAAATTTACAAAAGCATACATAGTCAAAGGATAGAGTTTATTTTCCCGGCCGGATACAGCAGAGTACGGGAAGTAAAGCTAGGAATTTAGGGAAGAGGATATCTCGTAATCCAAAGGTGAGACTGAGATGTCGAGCTAGACTGTGAGCCCCAGAGGCTTGTGAATCCTGCTGCAGAAATAGCCCAGGAATCTAGCCAAGAGCCTACAAAACTGCCATACGCGGGAGAATGAGTGTGTGTGGGTGGGGGGGGGGGGGCACGCGCCCAGAGCTGAATGGAGGGACAGAGTAGGCTTGTGGCACCAGGAATGGAGGAGGCAAACTGTAGTAAGAACCTCCTAGATGACCTGAGTTAGTTGGTCCTGAAACAAGGTGGGGGTGGCGAAGGAACAAAAGCGAAGCAGTGCTTAGAGTCAGTCTTCCTGGGAGCTAGAGGCGTGATTCAATGGTAAAGCGGTAGACCGCATAAGCAAGTCAGTGGCATCTCAGGGCCCCAATTGGTGACAAACTGAATCCCTCCTATTTACACCACCTGCCACACGTGGTTTACCATAATAAGTATCTCTCTGCCCTCAGTGTGGCCTCTGGAGAACAGGGCGAACAAAGCTGTTCAAGCTTGTGTGGTCTCCAGCACCGCACACAGTACGCGCTCAATGAAACTCCCCAGTTCGAGAATGATTGCATTTGGACATTCACGCAAAAATCGAGATTCTTCGGAGCCAAGCGCTTGCTTTTAGCTGGAGCACGTTTCAAAAGGCCTGGCACAAAGTAAGCGCCGCCCTCAAGCACTTGTTGAACCAAACAGAGTAAATCTGCTTCCCTCAGTTCCGCCCAGGCAGGGAGGTCTGGCTTTGGCCAAAGCACCGACCGCGTTGCGGTTACTTTCTTACGTAAGAGTTGGTGAAGCCTCCGCGCCCTTCAGACCCCTCCCATTACAAGGGCGCAAGGGAAAGAAAATGAGCGCAATATTTACAAACACAGGGTTTTGGTGGTCCACTTCAACTTCATCCCTAATCTCCGTTCACCACAAAGATTTTAAAATACCGCTGCAAAGCTCGGTGTGGGGCGCCGAGGGGTGGCGCGCTGTGGGTTTCTGGGGAGGCGTATGGATGGTGTGGATTAGGCCTGCGCACCGGGCACCCGCTCCAAGCCCCTCATACAGCCCCCAGGGCCTTTGCTGTGAGGGTGACAGCGGCCCCTGAAGGTGACTCGAGCTCCAGGCCGTGTCCGTGAGGTCTACGTAGGCTCTGGAGCAGGGAAAGCAAACGGTCCCCTTATCCAGGCCTAACTGCCCGGAGCCCAAGGCCGATCGCCTTTGCAAAGCTCCCCTTCCCGGGTCCCTGCTGCCCGGAGCCCAGAGCCG